TGTGAGAGCAGGGAGAGGTAAAGAATCAAGCCACGAACATTCAAGGGAAGTGGAAGTCGTTCGTGGGGGGGAGCTAATAGGGTGGAGTAAAATTCTTTCAAAATTCCCAGTACTTCATGAGGCAAAGAGGAGAGATGTTACCATTCTTAGTTGGCAGCTTATAGACATGAGGGGGCCGTATAGAATGATTACGTTTCCGTTCAAACATAGTTGATGCTGAATTGCTATGTAATAAAAATGTAGCCTTATACCAAAGCCTTTACGGTTTTCTAGGATAGTAAGGTATTCCTTTCTAAGCGCTTTTGCGATATCAGACTGAGAGAGAATGTTGTCATCGAAGAACACAGAACAGAAATGAAAATGTTTCAAATCAACTGTATGCAAACACACTGCAAAATAAATTTCCATGGGCAATAGGTTTAAGAGGCTAAAAACAAAACCTATATGGCTCATGTCCAAAGTTAACAAAGCTATGCATAATAGGAAAATTGCAGACAAAAATAGAAAAATAAAGGAACACTATAATTATTTAAAAGTTATAAAGAATATATCAAAATATGTAAAAAAGAAATCAAGGTTGCAAAAAATTCAAAAACAAATGACAGGTTGCAAAAGGGGGAGGACAAACCCCTAAAAATTATTCAAATATTTTAATATTAAACAGCTCATGTCTGAGCATGTAGGCCCTTTTTAAGATAATCTAGAGTTGGTGAGTGGGGACAAGAAGAAGGTCAATATATTATGTGATAGTTCGAGGCTCTGTCTGATTTTATGCAACATCACCTTGGCACTCAGGGGCCAGGTATGGTAAATAGGATTCTTGTTTATCTAATGGTAAAAGAATGCAGTTTAGGAAATATATAGACAACTTTGATTAGAATTTATGACTGCATCTGTCCAAGACCAAAAGGCATTACCCGTCACCTAGAAGATTAAAGTAAGAAGACTTTGTTTTATCTTCAAACACAATGTTTAAGGACTTGACTAATAAACCTTTGTTTGAAAATTTCTATGTCTTTCAGATGTTGGAGATGTGTGAATGTGTGTGACCAGAAATACTCGTTTGCAAATGAAGGACAGAAGGATGAGGACTTTAAGAATAATGGGCTCTTTCAATAGTCATCAAGCAATGGACTTTACATTGTGATTTTTATTCTACCGTTCTACTTTTTTTTCTCCTCTTATCTTCATTATCTTTTATCTTTTGATCTTTGTCTTAAAACCAGAGAGAGGCATTTAAACCTGATAATCATTTTAAAACCATCTGTTTGTATGTAACTCCTGAGGTGAGACGCTACACAATAGCTTTACATAGCATAACTTATTGGGTGTCTGTTTGTACACTGATGCTCTGGTTGGGTAGAATAGCGTAAGTTGAGGATAAAATACTTTGGGTGGCTTTCTCTAAATTTAATAGAGGGGTGAGTAAAAGTTATCACTCCAGTAATTTTATTGAATCACAGGGATATTTTAGAGGCTGGTGAAGAGAGATGTAACCAGTTTCAATTTCATATTTTATATGAGCCATTATGAAGCATTCAATACCTCAAATCACAATGCAACCCTTCTAGTTGATTATATATGTTCACTATTTATGAATTGATTCTGAATTGATTCAAGTGGGGGCATGTAGGATATTGTAATTTGAAATACACATATATATATATATATCTACATATATATATAGATATATATTGTATTGAACAGACCAGCATATGACTTTGAAGGATAGTCAAGGACTTTGCTATGTTGATTTTATGCAACATCGCCTTGGCACTCAGGGGCTAACGTGTTAAATTTCAAGGGAGGTAATTTGAAAACTTGCAAGGGTGATAAAATGCAGATTGCTCAGTCAGACTTGAAAGGACTTGGACAGTATCTACTATCTAATAACATGAAAAGGGGTATTAAGTATGGTAAATAGTATTCTTGTTTATCTCATGGTAAAGAATGCAGTTTAGGAAATATCTAGACAAGTTTGATTAGAATTTATGACTGCATCTGTCCAAGCTCAAAAGGCATTACTCATCATCCAGAAGATCAAAGGGGCTACTAAAAGTGGCCAATCAGAGTGATTGTCATTCTACTGAATTGGGAGAATGTGTATATTAGGGAAGGTAAAGGGGTTAAGGGGGGTCCTTTGATAGTTTCTGATGATTGCATGAATATTCTAAATACCCTGTCATCTGCCTTGTCTGTACCTCTGTTTTATTAATTATTTATGGGCTGATTATATGCATCTCTCTGGAAAAGAACTGTTGGACTAGTTGCTGCGAGAAAATACATTTATAAATACACTAGTCATCCGTCCACAATAGTATAAGACAACAGATTTGTTTAATGGACTGTTTCTGTGTGGACCTCCAATTAATATAAGACAAGTGCTTGTACGTATGCTGAGTGCAGGACTAAGGTGCCTTTATTTGGAGTAGAGAAAACATCTTTTGCAGCCTTCTCCAGTTTTTGGTATTCCTGGATGGGGCTCTGTAGTTTTGAGATTCCATAGTGTCATGGGTGGGACGGATTCTCCAACCCAGTGTCTGGGTTTTGTGGAGGATCAGCAGGGTGTGTTGCTCAGGTGCACACAGGCCTTATAATGGAGCTTTGGGAATACCTCAGGGCTCCACCCAAGAGAGACGAGAGAGTCTCTCATCCAGGAATCAGGAGAACTCCAAGCCCTCTCCTGAAGTCAGAGACGGGCTGTGTGCATTAGAGTGAGAGACAGATAAAGGCCTGATGACTAAGGCCAGAGGAGCTGTGTGCTTTAGAGTGAAGCCATCTACATTGACGTACATGTGGTCTGGGTGACCAGTGTAAAGAGCAGAGGTACTGTGATTAAAACTGAGATGAATTTGAGTGATTAAAGCTCGGCTTAAGAGGCATGTGGGCTAGCATTTTTCATTTGTATCTTTTGCTGGAGAAGAACCCCTGTGTGGGAAACCTTATGTTTTATGGACCTTCCATTGTCCTTTTTTCTTTTAAACAATTTTTATTAAGTACAAGAATATATCTTGACATACAATTCTGTAAAGCATTTCCCCTAAGAAATATGAGCACAAAAGTCAGTACAACAGTTGTAATGGGGAAAAAACAAATGATACAACAAAGCAGTTCAAAATAAGCCGAACCTCAAAAGTTAAGCAAATCCATGGGAACAGAAACTTGGTTACTGTTCTATCTCTCAAATCTAAGCATTGATAGTGTGATCTCTGTAACTTACAGTTGTGATGAGATAGCGATAACTTCCACCTCAGTTGGATACCACAGTCAGTGACTCTGTTAGGAATGGACTGGCCAGCAATGGTGGGACTCACCTGCCTTTTGATCTGCAGTACCAGGGCTGGCCAGCGGGTGCTCCCAGCAATCAGAGACTCAACCTTTCAGCCAGCTAACACCTGGAACTGATGATGCTGGGGTATTTAAGGGATGGCCAGACTTGCAGACTCTGCCTTGGTGTTGTGTTTGTCCTGGGCCCTGTATCTGTCCTGCATCCTGTTTCTGTTCCTTTGCTGACTTCTCCTGCTCTGATCCTGGCTTGTGACCCTGACCATTCCTCTGTCTGACCCTCTGTACTACGCTGCTTGCTACCTGTTCTGATCCCTGGCTTGTGACCCCGGACCATCCCTCTGTCTGACCCTCTGTACTATGCTGCTTGCTACCTGCTGAACCTGGCCTGTGACCCCGACCATTCTCCGCTTGCTCCCCCTGTACCTACCTGCCCAATTGATATTGACCCGGCCTGCCTGACGACGCTTGCTTGTATATACTGTTATCTGTGGGTGGTTTGGTTTGGTTTGTTTGCACTGTATTATGTTTTAGTATTGCACTGCGTTTATGTTTGTACTGTTAGTGTTAATAAATTATATTGTTTATAACATATCTGAGGTCTGCGTTTCCCTGCTTCAGTCACACACCTCTGGTCATACCTGGGATCCCTGACATTACACCAAGGCCAATCCTGACCAGAAGTGGCTGCACAGGGAAGCCATCTTGGCTTGTTGATGGGAAGGATGGATCTTGATGAGGTTGAGTATTTATATCTGCTAGTGTTTGATGACAGGGAGTATGCTTATCAAACTCTGAAGGAGTATACCCGGGATGAATTGCTAGAATGTATACGGCTCGCTCATGTTCTAGTAGATCAGGGCACAGTGTTCTCTGAGGTGCAGCCATTGATTGAGGTTTGTGCAGAGTTGGTTTCATCTGGTTCCCCCGAATGCAGGGATGAATTTTTGCCACCATTTAGTGCAGACCAGGTAGAGTCCCTGGTGTGGTTATTAGAGGATGATGTGGGTTACTTTCTGGAGCGTTATTCCACATGTTCACCACAGACACTGCAAGATTGTATAAACGCAGTGCAGTCATTGACCAGACAGACTTTGTGTAAGCTCAGCTTTGTTCAACCCCTACTGCAGACATGGACAGACTTGTTGCACCCAGCCTCAGTCAGCTTACAAAAACCCAGTCCTGTTTCTAACTCTACTCCTGTATTCCCACCAGCTCCTCCAGTTACAGCCCAGTATACTTGGCTATCTACCGCATGTCAGTACCCTATTCCCACTCGCTGCACCTATCCTGCCTTTAACCCTGTAAAAAAGCCCTCTGTAGCAACTGCTCCCTCTCCTGTTCCATCCTCCAGTTTTTCTCTGTCTCCAGCTGCTCCATTCGTTTGCAGACCTGCGTTTACTTGCAGTGCTCCAGTAATTAAAACCAGAAAAAAGCGAAAATTCTTTCCAACCAATACCATCCTGCCAGTATCCAAACCGGTGAACCAGCCTGAAGCCTCTACTCAGCCTGAAGCCTCTTCAGCCGGAAGCAGCCGGATGCCTCTCTTCAGCCGGATGCCTCTCTTCAGCCGGATGCCCCTCTTCAGCCGGATGCCCCTCTTCAGCCTGATGCCCCTCTCAGCCTGATGCCTCTCCTCAGCCTGATGCCTGCATTCAGCCTGATGCCGCTACTCAGCAGGAGGATGAACTGATCCAGCCCGACGATCCTATTAGGCCAGTTGACTCGATGCCCGCTGTTGATCCAGATGATCCGGTACCTGATCCAGTGCCCGCTGTCGTGCCAATTGACTCAGAGCCCGCTGTCATACCTGGTGACCCGGTGACCCGGTGCCCACTGCCTTGCCAGATGACGCGGTGCCCGCTGGCAAGCCAAATGACCTGATGCCTGGTGACCCAGTGCCCGCTGTCATACCTGGTGACCCGATGCCCGCTGTCGAGCCAGACAATCCGGTACCTGATGCCCCGGTGCTCACTGTCGTGCCTGTTGACTCGGAGCCCACTGCCTTGCCAGATGACGCGGTGCCCGCTGTCGAGCCAAATGACCTGATGCCTGGTGACCCAGTGCCCGCTGTCCAGTCAGACGATCCAATGTCTGACCCAGTGCCCGCGGTCATATCAGTTGACTCGGAGCCCACGGCCTTGCCAGATGACGCGGTGCCCGCTGTCGAGCCAAATGACCTGATGCCTGGTGACCCAGTGCCCGCTGTCCAGTCAGACGATCCAATGTCTGACCCAGTGCCCGCGGTCATACCAGTTGACTCGGAGCCCACTGCCTTGCCAGATGACGCGGTGCCCGCTGTCGAGCCAAATGACCTGATGCCTGGTGACCCGATGCCCGCTGTCCAGCCAGACGATCCAATGTCTGACCCAGTGCCAGCGGTCATCCCAGTTGACTCGGAGCCCACTGTTGTGCCTGGTGACTCGGTGCCCGCCGCCCCGCCTGGGGGCCCGAGACCTGTCGTTCCGCCTAAGGGCCCGAGACCTGTCGCTCCATCTGGGGGTCCGGCGCCCGCCGCTCCGTCTGAGGGCCCGAGACCTGTCGCTCCACCTGGGGGTCCGGCGCCCGCCGCTCCGCCTGAGGGCCCGAGACCTGTCGCTCCATCTGGGGGTCCGGCGCCCGCCGCTCCGCCTGAGGGCCCGAGACCTGTCGCTCCTCCTGGGGGTCCGGCGCCTGCCGCTCCGCCTGAGGGCCCGAGACCTGTCGCTCCACCTGGGGGTCCGGCGCCCGCCGCTCCGCCTGAGGGCCCGAGACCTGTCGCTCCAGCTGGGGGTCCGGCGCCCGCCGCTCCGCCTGAGGGCCCGAGACCTATCGCTCCATCTGGAGGTCCGGCGCCCGCCGCTCCGCCTGAGGGCCCGAGACCTGTCGCTCCGCCTGGGGGTCCGGCGCCCCGCCGCTCCGCCTGGGGGCCCGATGCCTGTCGCCCCGCCTGGGGGCCCGATGCCTGTCGCCCCGCCTGGGGGCCCGAGGCCTGTCGCCCCCGCTGGGGGCCCGATGCCTGTCGCCCCGCCTGGGGGCCCGAGGCCTGTCGCCCCGCCTGGGGGCCCGAGGCCTGTCGCCCCGCCTGGGGGCCCGAGGCCTGTCGCCCCGCCTGGGGGCCCGAGGCCTGTCGCCCCGCCTGGGGGCCCGAGGCCTGTCGCCCCGCCTGGGGGCCCGAGGCCTGTCGCCCCGCCTGGGGGCCCGAGGCCTGTCGCCCCGCCTGGGGGCCCGGAGCCCGCCGCGCCCCGCCTGGGGGCACGATGCCTGTCGCCCGCCTGGGGGGGCCCGATGCCTGTCGCCCCGCCCTGGGGGCCCGATGCCTGTCGCCCCGCCTGGGGGCCCGATGCCTGTCGCCCCGCCTGGGGGCCCGAGTGCCTGTCGCCCCGCCCGGGGGGCCCGGTGCCTGTCGCCCCGCCCGGGGGCCCGGTGCCTGTCGCCCCGCCCGGCCCGGGCCCGGTGCCTGTCGCCCCGCCCGGGGGCCCGGTGCCTGTCGCCCCGCCCGGGGGCCCGGTGCCTGCCCCCGCCCGGGGGCCCGGTGCCTGCCGCCCCGCCCGGGGGCCCGGTGCCTGCCGCCCCGCCCGGGGGCCCGGTGCCTGCCGCTCCGCCCGGTAATCCGATGTGCCTCTGCCCGGAGTCCTGCCCGATGTGCCTCTGCCCGGAGTCCTGCCCGATGTGCCTCTGCCCGGAGTCCTGCCCGATGTGCCTCTGCCCGGAGTCCTGCCCGATGTGCCTCTGCCCGATGTGCCTCTGCTCGATGTGCCTCTGCCCGGAGTCCAGCCCGGTGTGCCGCTGCCCGGAGTCCTGCCCGGTGTGCCAGTCTTTGATATCCCGCCAGTTGCCAGACCCGGGCGGTGGAACATTTTGCCCAGCTAGGACTGTTTGGAGCGTCCTGAGGCCGCTCCTTGAGGGGGGGGTACTGTTAGGAATGGACTGGCCAGCAATGGTGGGACTCACCTGCCTTTTGATCTGCAGTACCAGGGCTGGCCAGCGGGTGCTCCCAGCAATCAGAGACTCAACCTTTCAGCCAGCTAACACCTGGAACTGATGATGCTGGGGTATTTAAGGGATGGCCAGACTTGCAGACTCTGCCTTGGTGTTGTGTTTGTCCTGGGCCCTGTATCTGTCCTGCATCCTGTTTCTGTTCCTTTGCTGACTTCTCCTGCTCTGATCCTGGCTTGTGACCCTGACCATTCCTCTGTCTGACCCTCTGTACTACGCTGCTTGCTACCTGTTCTGATCCCTGGCTTGTGACCCGGACCATCCCTCTGTCTGACCCTCTGTACTATGCTGCTTGCTACCTGCTGAACCTGGCCTGTGACCCCGACCATTCTCCGCTTGCTCCCCCTGTACCTACCTGCCCAATTGATATTGACCCGGCCTGCCTGACGACGCTTGCTTGTATATACTGTTATCTGTGGGTGGTTTGGTTTGGTTTGTTTGCACTGTATTATGTTTTAGTATTGCACTGCGTTTATGTTTGTACTGTTAGTGTTAATAAATTATATTGTTTATAACATATCTGAGGTCTGCGTTTCCCTGCTTCAGTCACACACCTCTGGTCATACCTGGGATCCCTGACAGACTCAATGAGAATGACATCTTGTAGATTTTGTGAAGTTTAATCCATAAACTGAGAGAATCTTACAACAATGAAATTCCATAGATCAAAAGATCATACTGTTTCTGCTTTATGCCATGAGGCTTGCTGCAATGCATCTCTGGGAAAGGGGGAGGGCTATCTATACAGCATTAACTAAACCAAAGGAAAGGGAGGAGCAAAGACAAAATATAGAAAATATTTAAAGGCATTGACAGTCAATATGACAGTCAAGTGAAACATGACACTCCCCGTCGAAATCTGTGATTTCTATTAAAACAAAGTTTAGTTCAAGTCCAATATAAATAATGAGGATTCTTTCCGGGAACATCTGCAAAACAAGAGGGAAGAACAAAGGAAAACAATGCAAACATTTAGCATAATACTTGAAGATGTTGGTCTCAAAGTCCAGGCTGAGACATGGAAATCCATATTCAGAGGGGAAAGCAGCAACATGCACAATTCCTTTTTACCTCCTTTTAAATCAGGTTGATGACTTGTCTTCCTCTTTGGACAAAGGAAGTACTAGTTCCTTTATAGGCCTGGAGTAAAGGTGTGCAGAACCTTCTTTCATGATGAATATAGCCAAGATGTGTCCCAAAATGCAGTAGTAGGTACTTCACGACTGCAGCAGTCAGCAGGGTTAAGGCTAGTGGGAACGTAGTGCCATTGTTCAGGCATAGAGAAGACATGAATCTCTCTTCTAGTGGCATTCTTTAAGGATGCTTGGGTTTAAGAGCGTGGTATCTGGAGTTGTTCTAATTCTGATGTGCGGCCTGAGCCTCCATTTCTGTGGCCTGAGCCTCCATTTCTGCTTTCTTATGTGCGGCCTGAGTCTCCATTTCTGCAGCCTGAGCCTTCATTTCTGTTTTCTTATGTGCGGCCTGAGCCTCCATTTCTGCTTTCTTATGTGCAGCTTGAGCCTCCATTTCTGCGGCCTGAGCCTCCATTTCTGCTTTCCTTTGGGCGAAAGCTGACTGAATTTTAGAAGCTTCAGCATCAGCACGGGCTTTTATTAGTTGTTGACTGAGTGTAGAAGATCTTGATTGTAGGGATTTGGAAGATCCTGAGGAGAGTCTAGTAGACGCAGAGCGATAAGATCTGGATTCATGGAGCTGTGCTATTCTCACCTCTGCCTTTATCTTTGTTCACACCACTAAATTGTCTCTTTCAATATTGAGCTCCTCAAAACTCATTAATTCTTCCAATGACTCTTGAGTGTGGTACCACTTAACAAAGCAATATATTTAACACACAGTCTTTGATAATTCTCATAAGCGACATTCAAGGATAGCGCCCTCTAGTTGTATTGGTTCATAAGATTGTTGGGAGAGAGCAGACATGCATTTAACAGTATTAGACCATAAGTCATTAATATTAGACAGCAATTCTTCTTTATCAGTATTAAAATTCTCTTGCACTTTCCAGGTTGGATTTCTTAAGCGTTTTTCTCTTTTATCTAATTCCTGCCCTGGATGAAGCTCTGATTGTGGTTGTGTATTAGTTTCCCCAGACTGTATATCACTTTCCTGAAACATCATGTTAGCAAGAAGGAGGGTTGATAGAGTTTACAGAGAAATGTATACAATTTTCTGTGGGTGAGCAGGTTTCCTAGGCAATGGCTGCAGGAAGATTTTCTTTTCCTTTCTTATAAGTTCACAGGCAAGAGTTGTGTGGTAATGTGTACACATATATAAACTTGCAGTTGTAAAACATTCACATCAATAATTTGTCCTGACACTGATGATTGTTATGCTGGGATATACAGTGGGGATCGAAAGTGTGGGCACCCCAGCTAAACATTTGTATTAATGTGCATAAAGAAGCCAAGGAAAGATGGAAAAATCTCCAAAAGGCATCAAATTACAGATTAGACATTCTTATAATATGTCAACAAAAATTAGATTTTATTTCATTTACACTTTCAAAATAAAAGAAAACAAAAAAATGGCGTCTGCAAAAGTTTGGGCACCCTGCAGTTAATATCTTGTACTGCCCCCTTTGGCAAGTGTCACAGCTTGTAAACGCTTTTTGTAGCCAGCCAAGAGTCTTTCAATTCTTCTTTGAGGTATCTTTGCCCATTCTTCCTTACAAAAATCTTCCAGTTCTTTGAGATTTCTGGCCTGTCTGTCACGCACTGCTCTTTTAAGGTCTATCCATAGATTTTCAATTATGTTGAGGTCAGGAGATTGTGAAGGCCATGGCAAAACCTTCAGTTTACACCTCTTGATGTAATCCCCCATGGATTTCGAGGTGTGTTTAGGATCATTATCCATTTGCAGAAGCCATCCTCTCTTTAACTTCAGCTTTTTCACAGATGGCATCAAGTTACCATCCAAAAATTGCTGAAAATTTTTTGAATCCATTTTTCCTTCTACTCGTGAGATGTTCCCTGTGCCACTGGCTGCAACACAACCCCAAAGCATGATTGATCCAACCCCATGCTTAACAGTTGGACAGAGGTTCTTTTCATTAAATTCTGTGCCCCTTCTTCTCCAAACGTACCTTTGCTCATTCCGGCCAAAAAGTTCAATTTTAACCTCATCGGTCCACAGAACTTGTTTCCAAAATGCATCAGGCTTGTCTATATGTTCATTTGCAAAGTTCAAACGATGATTTTTTGTGGTGAGGACGTAGAAGAGGTTTTCTTCCTTGAAGACCATATTTGTACAAGTATCTCTTTATAGTGGAATAGTGTACCAGAACTCCAGTGTCTGCCAGATCTTTCTGGAGGGATCGTGCAGTCAAACGTGGGTTTTGAATTGTTTTTCTCACAATCCTGCGAGCTGTTCTGTCTGATATTTTTCTTGGTCTTCCAGATCTTGCTTTAACTTCCACTGTTCCTGGTGACTGCCATTTCCTAATTACATTCCGAAC